GCGTCGCCTTCTACGAGGAGACGCGCACCGTCGTCGCCCGGGACCTCGCGGCCGCGGCGTCGCCCTACGACTTCGCCCTGCCGCTGCCGCCGGGCGCGAGCCTCCTCTTCGGCCTGCACCGCGCGTCGGGCCGCCAGGACCGCGACTTCACGCTCGAGGCCGCGGCGCTCGTGAGCGCCGAGGACTTTGGCGGCGGGGACATCGGCGAGGACGGCGAGTCGGTCCTGGAGGTGCCGCTCTACGACGACGAGCACGACGCCACGGGCCGCGTCCTACTCCTGGGCGACCCGCGGATCGCGTCGCGCGCGGACTTCGAGAAGGCCGAGGCGACGCTGCGGCGCGACGCCGTCCTCGTCTACGAGCGGCGGAAGGACGACCCCGCGGCGCACACGTGGTCCGCCTTTTTTTGCACGGCGGGGGGCCTGGCCTGCGAGGGCGGCGCGGACGACGCGTTCTGCAGCGCGGACGACGGAGAGACCATGACGGGCGGCGCGATGCTCTGCGGCGACTACCTCGGGCCCGAGTTCGAGGACGAGACGATCCAGGAGGTGCCGCCCGAGGCGACGGCGCCGGGCCTCGAGATCGAGCGCGCGGACAGCCCGGGCCCCGCGGGCGTCGCGCGCGTCGACGGCGGCTGGATCCGCCTGGGCTGCGCCGTGCCCCTGGACGCGGACGACCCCAAGGCCCACGTGCCCCGGCCCGCGAGCCTCGACCTCGCCTACGGCTCCTTCAAGAAGGCCGACGAGCCGGAGCAGGACGTGACCGAGGACTGGCACGTCGCGCCGGACCCGGACGGCGACGAGCACGGCTGGTCCTACGCGGCGGCGCTCCGGAGCGACAAGTGGCACGGCGCCGCGGCGCCCGGCCGGCCCTACCGGCGCCAGATCTGGCACCGCTTCGTCCGGCGGCCCCTGCGGGCCTACCCGGTCATCGACGGCGCGCTCTGCGGCGAGCCCCGCTAGCTAAGCCAGACATTACGCGCGTAGGCGGGGCGCGTCGCCTAATGGACCGGGGACCCGGCGGCGGGGTCCTGACCTCCGAGCGACGCTGTGAAGATCGACCGCAGCATGGTTGTTTGTTTTTTGTGGGTTGCTTTAGATTGTTGGTTGCGTGGTTGTGGTTTGCCTTTTGCGGGCTGCACATCGCGAGCGGGCCCGGCAAACCCGGCATGCCTGGAGCGGCAGCCCGCATTTCCGGAAAATAAAGTTGAAGGGGATCGAGCACGTAAACATATACGATGAAGCCTACCCCGGGGGGACGTTCGCGCGCCGCGCCGCCTCGCGGCGTAGATCCCCTCGTAGCGCGCGCATTCGGTGAGCGGCGTGGGCGCGAGCTCTCCCATCTTCGAATTGTTACCGCGCGCGCGCTAGGTCTTCGCGCCGGGGCACAGCGGCGTCGCGCCGTCCCGCAGCGACGCCTCGTCGTACTTGGAGTCGGCCTCCTTGAAGAGCTTGTCCGTCGTGTGCTTGCCCCGGCCCTTCTTCATCCAGCCGCGCTTCGACTTGGACCAGGGGTGGGGCGCGTGGACGAGGAAGCCGAGGGGCAGCACGGCGAAGGCGAAGCCGTCGTGGCGCAGGTGGCGCACGTGCTCGATCTTGTTCTTGCCGTAGCCCGTGAAGTTGGCGTCGTAGGCCGGCACGAGCGCCGGGTCGTTGCGGACGACGACGTAGGGCTCGTAGCGGCTGCTCTTGAAGCACGCGACGGCGCGCGGCGCGGGCGCCGCGTAGGGCGCGGACGGCTTCGGCGCGTCCTTGCCCGGCGGCGCCGACGCCGCGGCGCGCAGCGTCTTGGCGCCGTCGCCGGCGGCGCCGAGGGCGGCGTGCGCGCTCTCCGCGAGCCAGGAGCCCGAGTCCGTCGTCGCGTGCGCGTCGCGGTTCCACGTAAAGTCGAAGACGACGCAGTCGACGGCCGCGACGCAGCCCACGAGCTCCGCGAAGGTCGCGGGCACGAAGCCCGGCGCCGAGAGCCGCCGCCGCCACTCGTCGTCGCCGAAGTTCTTGAACTGGCCCTTGCGGCTGAACGCGGGCACGACGAGCGCGAGCCGCGGGGAAGAAGCCAGCAGGTCGGCCTGGGCGAT